TCATTTGAACATATTGTTAATCTTTTTGATACCATTCGAGATTGTAATGTTTCATTTCATAATAGTTTTCACACTTCTGCTGTCGCTTTCACTGGGTTTCTATGTTTCTTCTTGAACTGTATCTATGTTGTTTTAATTGATATTTTATCCTGGCGGCAGAGATATTGATTTTTACCTCTTTGATGGTGTTACTTGATTTGAGTGAGATCTTGCACTTTGGATTTGAATTGGAGCACTTTCCCAGAATTGAAAATACTTTGTGTTATTAAGCAAAATCCTGAACACAATTATACCTGATCTATCCAGAAAGGATAGAATAAAACTTATTTTTTGGAGCGTTCGGTAATTTCCTTATATTTCTTATCAATTTGTCTATTTATCGTAATTTAGATCGAATATTGTGGGAACAATTATTGAGTGAATAACTGAGTGGTAATATTTGTTTAGAATTGTACATTTGTATTTATGATGAAATTTAGAACCGTTGTTACCCCAATCACCTTGCTCTGATTTCGATGGAGGTGCAAGGGTTACTACACTTTTACCCGACGGTTATTCTTCACCCAAACCTAATTCGGACTTTATACTGGATGCTGTAGGGTTTTGCCTGTATAGCCTGCCCAACTAGCAAAATCGTGTTCTCTGTGATCTATGATTTGGGTTATTAATCAAGGTCAGCCGGTACCCATTTATGTTCTATTTGGCCTTTTTTCTATTGCTCTATTGATTTAGATTGGCTCTCACATCTGACGTGACTGAAGAGGTCACTCTTCAAGCACTACCAAGCCTGAAGTGCCTCAGTTAAGTCTCCTCGGTTTCTGAAGTTCACAACCACCAGAAGAGACTTAATGATCATGAGGTGTAAAGGACGAAGTAGCCTGGACACAATAATTATTGTGGTGATGTGAAGGTCTATACCATGTAATACCCAACGCCACTGGTGCATATTACGTTCAGGAGCTTCATCAAAACTGTCGACTACTAGCTCAAGCACCCCACGAACCACCATGCTGGTTGGTTCTCGCGTATTTTCAGATCCTCCAGCATCTCTTGTGGCTCATGGCTTGTGGTATCCAACTCAGATTTAAGAGGATCGCTTAGCCGATGTTTTCTGGGACGTCAGCAAAATTTATTCTGTAACGTGTGTTGAATCTAAAGTTACCCTCAGGGAAAGGGCTTACTTTTGCTAAGTCTTGGTCTTTGCACAGACAGTATTGCTTGGCTGAAGTGATAATCTTTCCTCGCACCGCACAGTGTATGTCCCATTGTTCTTTATCAGAATGTGGTGTTTATAGGAATCAATGATTTCTTTGTATTGATGACTGTTTTGATTTTGAATTCCAAATACAGTGCATTCGTTCGTGCACATCTAATACTTCTTGATTAAACTATGTGATTGCTGGGATTACTAGTTCATACTATAATTCAAATACTTCAATTCATTACACAGAGGCAATTCTATCTTTTAATAGGCTATTCTCCGAAACTGGAACATTAAGTAAAACGTTTGAGTTGAGTGATCCATGCTGTACATAATAACTTGAGGTTCTTTTCCTGGTTTCGCCTCGAGCTTTTTTATAGTACTGTTGCCAGAAACGGGGATTGTCTATTTGTTTGTAACCACTGAATTAGGACCTCTAGCTGTGCTAGTCGCGCTTGTGGTTACAGTACAGGTACTGGTGGGAACGCTATGGATGTGAATGCCATTCATTATATTAAAATCGAAAATGTGAGATAATTTAAGGAGGAAGTAGGTAAGATAAAAGCTTCGCGGAATAATAGCAGAGATAAGTGAATATATATGCTATAGGAGAATGGAAACTGAAAGACAATAAAAACTGAGATGTTCGCCTGCATCCAGTATCTTATGCACAAATCCTGTTTTTCAAAGAGAATGGGTGTGTATGTTCCAGTGTAACAGAAAGAAAAAGTTAAAAGTCCCTCCATAGCATTTCGATGGACAGTACTGTCATTTAATCACTTTTTCCACATGCCGCGCATTTTAACATTTATCCAGATCACTTTTAACCAAACTCTGCATTCTTCAGTCTTCCTCCTCTGAGCTTTCATTATATGGCCGGTTAAAAACTTACTTTTTGCCATCTAATTTTTCTGTTGCATGTTGTTGAATTATTAGCAATAAGGTCATGTTTGACTGAGCTCAAGGTCACGGAGTGGTTCAGTGTGTGACTCTTAACCTTTGACTGTTCGCTTGGAAGGATTGCTGGGATCCATGCAGGCATATGTCTGATCCCAACCTGTTAGGAATATTTTTACTGATTCTCAAATAATGAATTCTTTTGTATTACCTATTTCTTATATTGTTTTAGCACGCTAATTCGTGTTAGAGAAACCATTGATTGGATAGCACAGGCTATACCTTTTGAGGTATTTCGTACTTTTGATATAATTTATTCTCCTTAGTACATTTGAACCGTTTAAATTAAACACAAAGTTTGTGTTTTGATATAATTTAATACGAGTAACTCAAAAACTCTTGGTACAGTATACAGGAGAATGTGGTCTGGTTTCATCGGATAAATTTTGGTTCGCTAGTTCCTTGTTCAAAGTGAATAGTGGAACTAGGAAGAGAGTAGCTGATTGAGACATTTAGACCTACCGTAGTGTTTGAATCTTAATATTACCAGAAACGTTGTTATAGTTGTCTAACAACAAGGTGAACACACAGTACGTATTCTTGGAAGCGTCCTAATATTTCAATATGGAAAGGTGGATGTTTCCGGTTATTGGTGGGGGATCAACAATGTCACGTCAAGCTCGAAGAGAATGTCAGCTATTCATTAGCAAGCTCTATTTCTCTTTTGTAGTAATGAATGCATTTCTTCATATGCGTTATATTTTTCTGTTAGGATATTCACAGGAATATCCCAAAATTATCTCGAACGTAAAGTGGTATGTTTTCAGACTCTTCACATATTTCGCATGCTATTTCCTACATTATTTACAGTTGTCCTATGACTTTCACGTGTCGTTTTCCTATTAGTCAATTTTGAGTTGTTCAATTATAACCTTTACATGTCCTTTCTTTCCATTGGTTACTCTTCATAGTCATTTTAACTGTATAAATATGCCTTGTCTGTAAATCATTTTTGTCCTGCTTATGACCCCATAAACAATTCTCATTTAACGGCTGTGTTCTGATTTACTGGAGGTTGGGGAACAGTAGCGGGGTCGTAGAAGGATATCTGAATTTGGTCAGTCGGTAGAAATTCGTTTAGTCCTATCGCAATATTTAGCAACGCAATAATTTCGCGACGTAACATTTTCAATGCCCAATTTCTTCAGATTATTAATATCGTATTATTTAATAGTGGCTGTCCGTCGAGTATGAATGACCGGATGAGTCCATACAGCTGATACGCCATTCTTTTAGGAGCGAATGTTGCTAATTTAGTCTTAGTTAATTCGAGCATAACATCAACCGTCTTTACTATTCACCTCATTCTATACCGGGTTATAACCTCTAACTCTTCGTTCTCCTTTTGGTGAAAGATCACTTTATTGCTAAACATGCAAATAAAGTAATATAATGAAGTCATGACAAGTTATGAAAACGCCTAAATTTCACATAACTAACACATAAACTCAATATACCATAACAAAAGTAAAGAAACACAGACTAGATGTACGATTGTAAAACATAGCAAACAGTGTTTGAAAAGATATATGCTAACAAAACATTTACGGAGTATGTAAAAGTGCACAGGTGCCTCCAAAGGACGCTCCAATTCATCTATCAATATACACTGAACTCAAGTGGTCAAAATAAATAAAACAAATTACTTTCCACTTCATGTTAAACATAAAAGGATAGGTCAAACAAACAGAGTTATGATGTGTGTAATAATGACAAGGATGTGACAGAAATTGATTGTTACATCTTAAACAATATTTTTATAAGGATTCAAAATGTGTGATAGAACAAACAAACTAGATAGTACTTAAAACCTATTCAGAACGTTAAGATGTTACATCTACACCGTAGAAATCTACTAAAGTATATTTTTAAAAACACTACAACGATAAAAGCTTATTAGGAAATATCAGTGAATAGAAAATCAACCCACTGAAGTCGCACATATAGTAACAACCTGCTGTGAAAAAATATAATGGCTAAATGATTAACGACAAACATTTATTTACGGAAATTCTCTAGGTAGCGCTAATATACATACAGTTCTGTTGACACTAGAAAACGTATTACTAGCTGTGAAGGGAATTACCATACCAACAGAAAGAGATTTGAAATATTTGCACCAGTTAAATTATGAAATTCTAAACGACAATTAAGATTTAATGAGCAAATACCACACAAATGATTATGTAAAAATGAAATTTATTAACGACAAATCTTAACAATTAAATAGGAGAATTGACAAGAATAATTGACTTCAGACTAGTCACCAAAGTCTACAATTGCAAAGATCCTCGTGTTGTTCGTTAAACAAACTGTAAAACAACATAAGATATTATTTTCCATTGTCAAAAACTCCAATAACTTCAAGTGATCTCTACAGTTAAAATTAGTCAACATAGACAATAGTATAAAACAAAAGTAAACCAAATCAGTTACAAAAATACAGTGTATCACATGAACGAATCAGGCACAAGGTTCACATTAACATTTTAAAAAAGGCAGGAGTTTTCAATTTATGCGGATCATCGAAATTGAAACAGTTCACTCGATGATGTGTAAGAATGTCTTACTAAGAGAAAGTATCATACACAAAAAAATGCACGATCGTTTCTTTTCTCTAACTATTCGACAAACAACTGCATATCCAAACCAATAAACACATGAAATATACATAAATTATTGAAAATATCTAAGATATGCAAGTTATCACCTCACTTTAAGTTTGTCAATTTGTACAGATTTGATATGTAAATATGATGAAAGAATAAAAGTAACAATTCACAATCACTATTGTTTGTATTCTAAAGAAACATAAGTATTGATATTTCAAGAAAATTATGACTTAAAAGAGAATTTCTGATGATCCATACAACACATATCCAACCCAACCCACAATACTGATGAGAGCAGTCATTATAAAGATCACAGACCATTGGTTTGTAGCTTCTAATATATAACCAACCATATAGACACCTGCAAATCCTGGAAATGTACCAACGGTAGCCATAATTCCTGTTATGAATAAAAAAACAACATAAATGAAACGATGAAAAATCATACAACTGAGAAGTATTAACACAAATTTTTATCCGAATGAGAATTATGAATGCTGGAAATGAAAATATAGACTACTTGGTTCCGAATTATCGGTCCGAGAATCACGCCGCAGAAACGAGAGGGTTGGTCTCTCAAGTGATGGGGGGTTCGCAGCACACTAGGACGAAACATCTGTTAAGAGCGACACCCAGTGTTCAGTGGGACACCATATGATGCTATTTCTAAAGATCATAAAAATTAACAACCATAATATAAACGTGTGTGCACTAGCGACTAGCTCTGAAATGAGTTAACGAAGTTCGACGGGAAAGCCGTGCTTGTATAGTTCAAACATAAGGAAGTTAAATAGCCATTATCAGTTGAATTGGATGATCATCATATTACACCGTTAACTGACTGGAACAAAGTGTGGACCGACAGGTATCGCACTCAGTTCTAGATGAGATCGTAGGTGTGTACTGATGAGTCTCATAATAGAACGAAACAGAAATCAAAAACTTCTTGGTTTTTATAAGTACAATAGCTAGTTTACAACTACTACAAAAGTCATCTATCAATTATAGTCTAATTGTTTAAACTAGCTACAAACAGATAACGAGTTTATTGAAATTTGAAATTTATGAACATTTAAATATTGAAGAGTAATTTCTACATATTTTTCTGCAGGAAAATAGTAAACGAAAACAAAACCTACCATATAACTGACCACTATGATTGGGAGCCATGTCTTGAGGATTCAACAGTACACCACTGCAATGAAAGCCTAAAAAGGCTAATGCAAAAGCCATACAAATTAGTGATCCATAGTAATTATCCAGAGATGATAAGATGATAAGAAATAAAGATGAACCTAAGAGAACAATTGTCTGTAAAATATAGAAATAAAATTAGTATGCAAATTATTGGAGGATCAAAGAAAAAACCAGAGATGACGAAATCGATTGTTAAAAAGAAATGCTCGATTGTATGTTGGTTATCCACACTGTCATCAGCTTATGGTTTCGAGCATTTAACACCTTTAGAATTTATAAATCATACAAAAAAGAAGTTAACACAAATTTTTAAAAAACATTTCAACTACTAGCTACTTTTACTATACACGCACGGTTGAACTTCACTTCTGACGGTTTTTCCATCAGAGCTCCGAGAATTACCTCTCGTTATCAGTGAACAGAATATTATTATTCGTGCATAGATAGTTTATAGACGTTTTTCAGTCTCATAGCGCACATCAACAATTAACCTTAGTTAGACAAGCGCTGATAACCAGGAAACATTGGAAAATATATTTCATAATAGTATGGGATTGTACCGGATTATAATATTGAATAAAGCCATTAATAAAAATAATAATGTAGTGTGGGTCCAGGATCTCGTGTAAGATTGAGCCCGGGACATTTTATGCTCAATTTAAGTTCCTAACACATAAACTACTGAGCCAAGAGCAATCGTTTAAAATGTTATGAGTTTTCGAGGTTATTCGGTCTACATCGTTGGAGTAAAAGGAAAAACACCATTGAAACTTGATCCGTTAGGATTCTCGCAGAACAATTTTGTTAATCATTGTTAGCACAGTCAGGTTAATTTGAAACCAGAGTTTTTTTAATCTTAATATGACTACTCAATAACCGTTAACGAGTCTAGGTAGCCAACTATGAACTACAGTTTTAGTGTGATAGTTATCACTAATGATGTTACTATGTTTTACACTATATCTCTCAACCGTTCTTATTTGAATATCCGAAACAGTAAATTATAATATTCTGCTTATTATTATTATTCTGCGAATATCAAAATCACACTCAATGAATCTGAAAATAAGCAACATAATTGTGAAATATTATTGTGGGATTTAAAAAGGCCCAAATTTTCAACTTTAGTAAATTGGTAATGCACCAATGGTGAGTTACAGTCTCAGTCCAAAGATAGTTGATTCCATATATTACAGTTTCTCATTGACACAGTATGAAAATTTATTTGTACAAGGAGGTCATTATCAAACAGTATGACGATAATTTAGTAATATGCTTGTGATAGAATATGTTTGCAGTAAATACGTGCTCTCTCTCTCTCTTTGGTTTCCAATTTTCTGTCAAGCGCTAGCTTAGCCAATCGTACAGCATTTACAAAAATCAATATATTATACAGCAAAACATTACGGCGATATGTGTACGAACTCACGGTGATTATTTTCCTCACTATTGTTACAGATACACCTACAAAAATGTTAAAATAAATTCAGTGTAGACAAGTTGATAAGATTTGTAATACAATAATTCTTGAAATATAACTAAATGGATATCTGAATGGATGAAAAGTTTAAATATGAATGAATCATGGTAAATTTGATACTTGTTTCTTAATTTGTTAATTTTACAATTCGGACTGTACTGTTTGAACCTTATTTTAATTTATTTATTGGAACACAAACATTGGTACAAGGAGGTATATATACTAAACTTCGTCATTTAATTTGTGTGAGGGCTGGAATACTATCCCGGTGCTCAAACCGAAACAGATGGTTTTATTAGGGAAGCACGCCCGTAGCCTTTGACCTACGGGTCTAATCCACAAGGCAGTGGAGCATCACATGATGACCAACGACTGGTTCATACGCCATTTTTTCCTTCAGTATACTGAAGCCCATGTGCACCATTGGTTTGGAATCATGGTTTTCCAGCTTTCCTAGGTGGACTCTCTGTGTCCACTATCTCGGTTAAAGCGCAGAACTTTTGCTTTTCGTGCTCTCAAATTTGTATGCAACAGCAATGCTACCAGAAAGCAGTGAGTAGGACTTCCCTGGCAGTGAGCTGTATGCACGCAGCCATGTGAAAGCAATTCGAGAGGGAGAGCTGACTCTCCCCACTCTCGTCCGTACCAGGGCATTAGGACCCTTTACAAAATATCGACTAGGCAGTTGTCTGCATCAACGCTTAAACTGATTATGTAGAGCGAAGAAGTTGAAAAATAGATCATTCCACTTATTTCGGGAGTCTCATTAATCCTGAAGAGAACGAAAACGAACCCCCTTAGGGCTTAAACAGGGCTCATAGTCACGGAAAGTTAATCTAGTTGGAATGAAAAGCAAATCACGGTGCTGGTGAACTAATGAACGGTATATGAAGCAACTTTAAATACAGGGAGCTACCGTTGGTCGAGAAACGTCAACAAAATGAATAAGAGAATTCTATGACAAAAGTATAACAAAATTACCAGTTTTCATCCAATGATCCGCTAAGGCACCAGCTAATAAAACAGATGGGAATATAATTAGCCATGGAACCATATTGAAAACCCAACTCTGAAAGATAAACAATTTAATTAGAGACAAGGACTAATTTGTAAAAATAAAGTAATAGTAAACAATTATAGTACTAGTTTTCTTGATAAACCTCTGTAAAACAAAACAATAAGTATACTCATCTTATTATCAATACGGGGTTGTGAAGATTGTTGAATTTCACTGAAATCATGAACCGGCCAATGTTCAACCACCATTAAATCCTATACTAGGGACGAAATGGATACCCAGTGCTTCCATGTTTTCAATAGTAGTCTAATATTGAGCGGTTCATGATTTGAATGAAATTAATTCTATATAGACTGCTTTAAATTTTAAACAAACGTACAATATTTTCATCAATGTAATGGTTTTACAAATATGATTTAGTATGAAACATGTACGAAGGATAATTATGATTATTTACGAAAACAAAACAGCGAAATAATACCAATAATCACAAATTATAACCAACCTTATCATTTCGACCAGTAAATCTATTAACCAGAATTTTCAAATGTTCACTGTGGCATGATTACCGGTAACGACCTATTCTGTTAATTTTTATTCCCATAATAAATTAAACACATGATTGTATAAAGTAATCAGAACTATTGTTTACCAAGTAAACTAAACTATTTTTCTATATGATTTATACGAAATTACATATTTGATCACATCACAATAATGTGGATCTTTGTGTGGAGTCAGAGTAGCAAACAACGAAATGAATGCTTACTTCATATTCAGCGCCGTATAATCTTTGTTGTTATTGTTTTACAAAGGGAAATTAAGAAACTAAGCGAGAACTGATATGGACAACCAATCAGAAGTGACCTAAAGGACAAGTGCATTTCATTGGCTAGGAAATGAATCAATTTTCATGCTTTTTTCAACTTTAATGAAAAACTAATATTTGTGAACAGACTAAAAAATAAATTAAAGTACACACAAACAACTATTATCATGAACTGAAATCTCACTTACTCTTGCATCGGGATAATTATCGTGGAAATAGGAAGGACACCAGTTGAGGATAATATAAAATGTATTATTATGAACAAAATTAGCCAAAAGCATAACCCTATAAACAAATATGAAAAGTGAACAACAATAAAGGATGTGATAAAAAATAAATGTTGTGAACTAGGACAATTTGAAAAGGATATATAACGAGGTGTTCAAAGTTTCAGAGTGGAATATCTGGACAACTTTGTTGTGACGTGTAGCCAGTTAATTTATCAAGTGATTTACGCGCCAATCAGAACACGAATTATACAAATTTAACACGGTGCCACAACAGTGACGTATAACCTGTATGAGCAGCCTAGCGCCCTTATTGGTTCTTTACCTGACTAGCCTCGCCTATTGAGTCCAGAAAGCTAATATCAGCTTCTACTAAATTAATAATTTATTCCAGACATATTTGGTTTATATACAAGCAAACCAGACCACATCATACCATAAAATAAAAAAATAACAATTGTACAGGATTGGGGCAAACAGTGGCTGTGATTGGGAGAAAGTGTAATTAGTAAACTGGATATGACTTGAGAATAGTAAATCGTATAATAATAGTCTATAGATAAAAAGAAAGCTTAAAATAAAGGAAACATAAATAAACATAATATAGTTACTCAATAGTTATACAATAAGATTATATGTATAATATTAGTCCATTAATAGCTCTCAGAAGATATCCACAATTTAATCTTCGCTAGGATATAACAAACCTGTTCCTGCCATCTACATATTTCAACAAGTTGTTTATTTATTTGTTTTAACATATCATCATGTCTATTAATCGCATAACCCATTCAGGGACGTTTATGAAAGGTTTACAACCTTTCACTGTACAAGTTACAAAAAAATACGGCCAGAGACATCGTGGTGGCTGGGAATACACATTGAAAGAATGATCATTACCCAGATGTCGATTCCTGAACTGCTAACATATAACATGGGGTCACTCACTATTTATCGTCAGGATCGATTAACAAATAAGAAACGGAAACCTGTTGAGATATTTTGTGCTGAGAATTCTATATATTGTACAAAAAAATATAATATTGAATAAAGCCATCAATTAATAATAATCATTATTATTATTATATACAACAAATACACACTAAGTTGGGTCAAAAATCAATGAAAATGGCAACAATACGTTATTGACATAATAATTAGCATGGATAATGTCATAAGTAGACGAAGATTATTCGAAAAATGATTAGCATAATACATTTTGAACAGTCTGTTAACAAACTTTAAGTATGAAGAATACAAGGTTAACTAGACAAATCAGTAGGTAAAGGAAAAATAATGCTGAGGAAAACAAAATATGAAGCTCGCCAATCTGAATAATAAAACACTATTACTAGAGTATGTTTATGTTAAGGACAAAATCTTTTCACGAATACACATGGAAGGGGTGCCTGGGTATTCGTATCACTATAGCTTCAGTAAACTTTAGTATATGCTCTTAAGCACTGTTTTAAAAAATCACAAAGGCTGAGTTACGATCAACCTTATGACTTGTTTCAAACGTGTGCTTAGCTATAGAAAGTGGATGTTTTTCATCTGCTCTTACTCAATCGTTTGATTTCATTTGTTTCCGTAGTCATTTTAACACATGTTCTTCTTCTGATTATTATCATAGGTCCTCATAAACTGTTTAGAACATTTGTATTGAACTATAACATAAGATCAGTTAATAAACACTAGTAATTACAAGTAAGAATTCACATGACGTATAATCAATACTCCAACAAGTTCCCCTATAATATACATTCATCCAGTTCATATTAAAATCTGTGAAAAAGATTTACAACAGTGGTTAACCACTATTCCTTTTTATATTTGCACAGAATTTTTGGAAACAATCTTTTGTACGATAACATCTGTCGCCAACTCATAACAAATATTTGATCACTTAATACTAATGCAATCTTCACTGGTTTCTAATAAGAGTACGGTATAAGGAGGAAAAAATATCGACTATCGTGATGAGTTTAATAGTAATTAAGTATGCAATAAATTGTAAGCATTTATATAATAGCTTTGGAGTACATTAACTATTAAAATACATAATTATTCAGTTCAACAAATTAAGAAAACAGAAAAATGTATAATTGAAAGAAAATAAAAGTGAACTGCGAAATTGAGCAGGTTATCAAAAAGATCATTATATGATCGATAATATAAACAAATAAAATGACAAAAATCGTACAAAACTGAAATTAAATTCATTATAACAGTATGAGAATAAATACAAATTCAGTTAGGATGGTGACTTGCTATTGTCTATAATAAATAATACAATCAGTCATTCTACTATGAGTTGACTACTAGTATGTTATGATTTACATTTACAAGAAACATATTTGCTGTCATAAGTTTGTTAGGAACTTCATATTTTTATTAGAACCAATAAAGAGCATCAGGCTGACTACAATTCCATTCTATTGATTTTTGAGTACTTTATAATTAAAGCGTGTAGAACGTCATTAAATACATTTTCAAATTGTAGTGAATGTGAAAGAATCTTTAGCCTCTAAATGACTGACTGAAAATTTGATACACAAAACTATGTAGAAATGATTCAACGACAGTCTCTCTCTCTCTCTCTCTCTCTCTCTCTCTATATATATATATATATATATATATATATATATATATATATATATACGAATGAGAGCTGGAACTCAATCTAGATCCCATAGAATTTCACCGCATCCAATCGGAATAACTGTCAACAAATTTATACATTTCTCTTCTATCAATTATTATCGTATAATAGCTGATGTATTATTTAAATTTTTTCATGATAATCATCATTGTTCTTTTGCTGACAAACTAATTCACCGAATCTAAAGGACATGTTTATTATATTCAACTTAATAAGTGAACAATCTTATTTATTGTGAAAAAATAACAAATTGTGAAGGCTACTTTTAGAGACATTATTCAGCTTCATTCATTATCAGTAATTACTGGCACTTAGTTTGTTTAACTGCTTTATAACCATGATCGTTAGCTTTCGTTTAATCAATAACCTAATGTTATATCTTCTACTTTAAATATATTGTAATCTGAACATGAGCCTTAAATGCTATTTTTTATATTTTCATTAATCGATTTTAGCATAAATTAGATATTCTCATTTACTGAGTGCCGTGATTCAACTATTCATATATTTAGACATGTACATTTCTGCCTCAGTTATGGGAACATAGTGGATTCTGCTCTCATAATTTCATCTTCTCTTGTCAAGCAGAATTCCCTAAGCAAGTCATTAGTCGACGAACAAGATCGTTCTTCTGCTATCAAGGATAGTTGGCCATAAGTGGAATTTACCCATTCGCACTCCCAAGGTTATTTCAAGTAACCTAGGGCAATAAGGCCATTAACCAGCTCTGAGACAAATCTATCAGCATATCTAACTAGAGAGACAGTGGATAGACCAAGGAGCCAACAGTATTTTACTATAAACGCCTACCAATTTAAAATAGGTTTGAAGTTGGTACAAGCAGACTTAATTGGATCACCAACAGATGGATATTGTAACCCTTAGTATAATTTTGATGTTTACTCATACCCATTTATCTATTGCACCTCCCACCACTATTCAATGCACATAAGTGTTTTGTTCTTATTTTTTATGAATGACTACAATCAGTTCAGGAAGTCAATCACTGACTATTGCACTGTGATATGTTGGTTAGTGTGAATTATCCGCTTAGATCACAAACGATTATCATAACCAATGATTGGAGACGTCGAGTGACATGGATCAGATTCAGCAGAAATGGTGCAAATGTATAAATTCTTTGCTTTTTAAGTGCAAAGTACTTTTACAAGACTGGTAGGACCCTGTGTATGTATTAACCCTGTGTAGTAAGCAGTAAAACATAGTCGAGAAATTCGTGTATCTGAGAAGCTGCATAAGTGCTAGTGGCGTGAATGACTGGATCGATTCACGAATAGAAGCCAGAGCGCCTTATGTTAATCTGGGCCATTTTGGCGCCTTCGTGATGTTACTCTGGCTTTACTAGGTTGGATTTACAGCACGTTCGTGAGAGCGATTCTCTCTATGCCTGTAAAACCTGACCTCTCCGTACTGAGGATGTCGAGTGACTCTGTTTGGTCATCGTTGTCTACGAAGCACCGCCGACAAAAGGAAAGACACAAAATCGTTTTAGTAATGCAGAGGTTCACCAACACGTGTTCAGGTACGGTAACGACGGTTCATTAAGTATCACTGTCGTGAAACATTGACTTCGGTGCCTTGAATATGTACTAAGAATAAGATACCAGCGAATTCCACATCGTGAATTATATAACGACACCGGAACTGATTGGAAGAGAGGTGGTAAGTGTATGACATGTCTTAGTATGGAAGAAAGCTGTACACGACTGGCTTCTCTTGAACCTACACGACTCCCTGGTTGACAGTTCTAGAGATAATGCGACACGTTCGTTTACGATTTATGAGAAATGGCTTAGAATAGAGGCCACGTGAAATTCTCTTAAACGTCGAGATCTAAAATATTCCTGTACTTTTCATTCCATGAACTCATCCTTTCTCATAGAATCGTACTATCTATCCTTAATGTTTCCTACCAACAGTAATACTGTTACTACGTTTGCTAATGTGACATTAATCTTAACAATTCCATCGTATTGATTTATTATTGCGTGGCAACTTGAACCGATGGGCATACGTGATAGCTTCTACGCTTCTAATGGTTGGCTGGTTGACTAACGGGAAGACAATTAGGTGATCCATGTACTTCAGAAATCCGTAAAGTAATAAAAACCAAGTGGTACATGTTTTGACAGTACCTTTAAACAGATATCAAGCACATTTTTTACGGAAAAAGTTTCAAATAAAATATATCTATGCAAAGTGAATCATATGAATTATTTATACGTACATTTAAAGGGTGGATGTAGAGACGCCATTGTGAACGATTTTGAGCTATGTCACTGATTATGAAAATCACCCAAACCTCAATCAGGTAATCTGCAGTTATCTACATGACTCAGCACAACAGTTAGTGAAATCATGAACAGACGCTACAA